GTTAGTTTTCAGAGCTTTATTAGGAGGGGAAGGGGGGAGGGGAAAGAGAAAGGAGAGCCAGGCCTGGAGAGAGAGAGAGATGGTGTGTGTGTGGGGGGGGGGAGCAGAGCAGAGCAGAGCAGAGCAGAGAGAGAACCGGGAGAGAGAGGATGGGGTTTGCATCGGGCTTTTTAAGGCATGTATGTAGTCGCCAGTGCACACTGATGACGCAAGATGCAAGACCCCTAACTGCTCGTGTGCAGGAGTGAGGGCAGGATCCTAACAATAAATGCGGCAAGTGAGTTCATGTAGACCCTTCTCCCATCCTTAGGGCTTAGGGTGTGTGACTGAAGGCCTAGTGTGTGGGCTCCCGCACCTCAATCCACTCAGTCCCCTCTACCACAATGGGCAACTGCTACCCATGGTTGGGTGTGCAGTCACATGTCTCCCAGGGAATGAATGAAATGTTTTACAAGCTGGCTTTGTGCTGGCACCTCAGCAAGAGCCCGCCAAGCAAAGAGGCCAAAACGTCAGGCTGGTGTCTAAGGCAGATGTGAAAAAGTGATTGGTTTATGATGGTGACGTCTATGAGAGAGCTGGCGGCAACCGTGGCCCATCACCTGGTTTACATTGGGTCTTTTGGGGCTTCGGTAAGTTCCAGGCATTCATGAAGGCCTTCTTGTCTGCCACTAACCAGGGCCTTAGCGGGGCAGCCACACCGCTTGCTTGTCCACTTCCTCTGTGTGTTGAACCAGTCTTCATTCAAATCAGACCTTCTGGGTTTCACCTGGTCCCTCAGTTTACTGTTCATCTCTAGGACCGGAAGATACAGCATGGCACAACAAGGAAGAGGAGAGTCATGTCTGTCTGTCCCACAGGCAAGCTCCAACCCCTAGTGACACTGTGGGGTGTCAGGGAGGCCCTGAGTGCTTTCCAGGAAGGAATCTTTAAGTCTTACCTCACTCTGGGGGGTTTTGCATGTTAAAGGAAGGCTCTTTTGGCAGAGCTGAAGGAGAGGACAGACAGGGTTGTGGCTGATGATTCTGTTATTTAAATGATAAAAATGGTAAGTCCTTGGAGTTGCTTGCAGGAGCAGAAATGATTCAAAGATGGCTTTATCAACTCAAGCCCACCCCAGCATGGATGACAGCTCACCAAGCTGGTGACTTGGAGCACACTGCCACTGCCCAGCCTCCAGGCAGCTCATCAGGTTGGAGAGTGTCCTTTCTAGGTGCCTCTTCAGGGTAGCTCAACTGGTTTGTTTCTTCCAGGGTGCTGCTCTGGTCTTGGGAGGCTTTGCAGCTTGGCTTTGCCCTTGTGAGAGGGACTATCAGTTTGTTTTTTTTGTTTGTTTGTTTGTTTACTCTGGCAAGGAGGAGACTAGTGAATCTGGCCAGTTTCAAAGCCTTCCTAAATATATTTTGAGTTGTTTACCTCACTGCTTAAGGAGCTTCCCTGCAGGATGGAATATTTCAATCTCGGAGGAAACTTATACAATGACGGGTTGGATCCAGGACTCTCCACATGGTAGCTAAGCACGCCGCCAGTGAGTTACATCCCAAGCCCAACACAAATATTTTCACTTTTTGAATTACATTTTAGCTCATACATAAAGACAAAGAAATTGTACATATAATTAACAGTGTATGTACAAGTGGTTTGTTGACTTATTTGAGACAGGGTAAGGTATTAAAGTCTCGGGCTGGCTTCAAACTTACATTGCAGTAGAGGATTGTCTCGAACTTCTGACTCTCCTGACAGATTCATTTCACATGTCTTAGAAACAAAACATTGTCATCACTAGGCCTTCTGGCTTATGCCTGTGATCCCAGGCACTCAGGAGGCCAAGGCAGAGGGAATCAAAAGTTCCAAGCTAGCATGAACAATTTAGTGAGATCTTGTCAAAAAAAAAAAAAAGGCTGAGCTGTAACAGCTCAGGGATAGTGCCAGAATATGCCAGGGTTTGGGTTTAAATTCCAGAACTGCACAGCCCAGCCCAGCCGTGACAGCCTGCTATATACAGAGCAATGGGCTTTGTTTCATGCCTTCCAGCACTTCCACACACACCAGCAAGACCAGGCAACATTTAGATTCTCATCACTTACATGGATGGACAGTCAGTCATGCAGGGAAGTCTGTTTCTAAATGGCCCATCAGAGTTCCCACTCAGGCAGCAGAGCTAAGACTCTGTGTGTGTGTGTGTGTGTGTGTGTGTGTGTGTGTGTGTGTGTACGCATGCGCCCTAGGGGCTGGTGGATGGGGTTTGGGGAGGTCTTGCTTACAGATATCACTGAGCTTCCATACCTGTAAGACTGCTTTCTGGCTGTACTTGCCTGACTGTGGAGTGACTCCTATGCACCGTTCTTCCTGTTCTTTTGAAGGATGGTGAGTTCTTTTATTCTTTTTCCTAGCTGCTGTTGTTGTCTTGAGACTAGTCTCACTGTGTAGCCCTGGCTGTTCTGGAACTCACTGTGTAGACAGGGCTGGCCTCGAACTCACAAAGACCCCTTGTGTCTGTCTCCAAGTGCTGGGATTAAAGGCACGGGCCACCACCCCTGGCCCTATCACTATTTATTCTTGGTTTATATTCCGGGTCTTTAGATGTCTTGCAAACTTGTCTCCCACTCTGCAAACATTTTAAACATTAATAATTAATGCTGAACATTAAAAAAAGAGAAGGAAGATGATCCAGCTCTTACTGCTGCTGCATGGCTGACGGTGTGCTTTCTCCTTGACTCTGCTCCATTTGCTGCTCTCAGCCATCCGGGCAAATTCACGGTCCAGGATCTCCACTCTCCCTTCCCTAGCTGTAGACCACTGTTGCTGTTACCCTATGAAAGTCTTCTGATAGACCGACCGATGGAGGAGGCGAGGTTCTCATGAAAGTCTTCTGATAGACCAATGGAGGAGGCGAGGTTCTCGTTTCTTCTCAACAGGCCTTGGTGTGGACCATAGGGTTGCAGTATTCAGGCTCACAGCCTCTCTCTTGACCATGGCAGTCTCTGACATGGCATCTGTGGGTGCTCTTGGGGTCCAGATCTTCCCCTTTCTCTTCCCTAAGGAGATTCTCTGCTGGATTCTGTGCCGAAGTTGGCTTCCAGGTTCATCTCCAGGGACCAGTAGCTTTTGTTTCCACCTCATTCTTAACAGCAGGCGCTCGTTAGCCCTCACCTGGTGGCAAAAGGGTTTCCTGTCTTATTCCAGGCATTTAACTCTTATACATCAGGTCCAAACCTACTGCTTGGGCAGAGGAGGTGTCCTGAGCCCTCTGCACATACAGGCGGTATTGGATGCTACTCCTCAGCTATACCTTTCAACACTTCCGCTTCATGTTAGAGAATGTTCCAGAAGCAGACAGGCTTTCTTAAGGATGCTCCCAGGGTTCAAAAGGCAGCCCTTTTCTGTCTCCTGACCCGATGCCTCCCTTTTCATGCCCAGCTCCTCCATGCGTGTAGGGGTTATAAACCATCACATTACCCCACACGTGATATTTAAAACTTTCCTAAAAAATTAGCTTTGCTACTTACCTATTTTCTTAATGGTGGCTTCCTCTTAAAATCTCTTTCCTGGATGTAATAGGGGCCCATGAACTGACATTTAGAGAATCAAATCTGTGTCGATTGTTTTAAAATCCTCCATGTTTTTCATGATGCCTATATATTCTTACTCTAAAAGGTAAGTAGCAACACACATGACATTTGTTTGTTGCTTGGAGCTTAATCATCACAATAGTTAGCTATTTAATAATATAAATGCAAAGGAATACAAGATAGAGTCGTTTCATGTGCATTTTGCCCCTAAATTGAATGTATTTACAAGACAAAGGTGTACTTGCTTTGTTCGTAGTTCTTATTGGGGCTACTCCTGCCTTCGACTCGGGTCTTAACCTTTGAGGTGTTTGATGTGGATGTGGTTTCATTATGGGAAGTGATTTAGAATCCACTTTATGAGCCGTGCCGCTGAAAAGATTTTAGATATGATGGCTTCTGGGCATGACAGTTGTACACCTTTCACTGGGGCTGAGCCTCCATAAGCTAAATTATGAAGTACTTACAGGTACCCATTTTTCCTGTCAAGAACTATGGGGCATGTAAAATTCATTTATGATTGATAGTAGGGCACACAGAGTTTAAAACCCACATTTTAAAAGTTAGACGTGTTAACCTTGTACAATACTGTAACGCGGTGCTTTGGAATTAGAAGCGCACAGCAGTAACACTTGCTGCCAAAAGAACCGTATTTATTAACTCAACAAAGCTGTAAGGAAACATTTGAAAGGCAGGACACAGCATTTCATCTTGAGGATAATTTTTGATCTTCATCAGAGGTCTCACAAAAAATCACTTCTTTTTAACTGGACATGCTAATCAATTCTACAAAATCTGAAAGGTTATGAATTTTTCATCACTCCATTGTAGCTTTGAAGTTAACTGTAAATATTTATAAATCCATTCTTCCCGATATATATAAAAGTAAATGAAAAATGAAAGGAATTGGACAAGTTTTTGACGCATCCTCCCTCCATTTATGTCTATCACAAATCTGTGTGTGTGTGTGTGTGTGTGTGTGTGTGTGTGTGTGTGTGTGTGTGTGAAATGTCTCAATGCTTAGCTCAGACAGAGGGGAAGAGAAGCGTATATTAAACTGTAGACCTTGTTTTACAAATCTTCCAATTCACTGTAGCTAAGCTAAGGAATCTGAATGTTCGTGGCTTTGTAGAATATATAAACAAAACATAATCAATTTTTAGGGTTTATGCTTTTGAATAAGTAAATGTGGAAAGATGCTAGACTGTTCTGTGAACAAAGATATTTTATCTGACTCGGGGGGAAAAACAGTTATGTTCTTTTCGGCTAAGTGTTGGAACCTTTACACTTTCTCTAGGAAGTGATTTTAGCAGTTTAGCTATCTTTAAAAGTAACTATCCTGTGTAACATTAGTTTGTTTATAATTTCTAAAAAGCAATTAACGCAATGCACGATATGCTTCTATTACTCAAAAATGGGCTGTCTCTGTTTCAGGATTCATTTTGGGATGAAAGGCTCCATCTTGATTAACCCATGTGAGTCTGAAAACAGAGGTGGGGATTCTCCAACTCTCCAAGTGCAGCTCACCAGTGACTTGATCTGTTTCTTCGACTCTTCAGTGGAACTCAGGTAAAAAAAAAAAAAAAAAAAAAAAAAGGAATTTTTAACCATTTAATAAAAAAATAAAAATAGGATGCCAGGACAAGGAGTAGAGTTGTTTTTGTAACTGGACTTGACTTTTGTTTTATTTTTTGGTTAGATAACAGAAGAACTAGCAGAGATGCTAAACTTTTAGCACCGAGAATAAAGATTCTGAGAAAGGCACTCTGTGCTTTAGCTGCCATACAGCGTAGCAGGGATCTGCAGTTTGGTTTCCACACCACACATGTCAGTTAACAAACACGTCATAATCCACAAAATGTCATAAAGGAACCTTCAAATGTCATTAATCAGGTCAACACTGTTTGTGGGGGTCCTCTTGCTCTGTTGACCGTTGGCCGTCAGGTCGAGAGGGAAAAGAGGCAGAGGGAATAACAGAAAGCTTTGTATGCAGCCCATGAGCATGAACGGAGACAGCCCTCCAGGAGACAGACTTCCGTGAATCCGCTCAACTTTCTTCCAGAGCATAAGGAATATATAGGCGTGGGGGAACCTCGGGACAAGCCCTAATTTGAATTAAGTGGCACACTCCTATCACAAGGCTTAGTATGTGGCAGTAGGGTCCTATAGCAGAGCTCCTTAGAACAAGTCTTCTTAGCAGGGATCTGTGCCACGGGTCAAGCTAAAGGTGAATCGGGCATCTAGTTTAGAAACAGGCATCTGGTTTAGAGACAGCTTTTGGATAAGGTCAGCCCTCCAGGCCCAGGGACATTCTCCAGATAAGGGCAGGTCAAGAGCAAGAAGCTTTACTGGAGAGGGAGGGAGTTCCATATTGCTGAGCTTAGAGAAAAAAAAAACACTGCTAGGCTTATGGCGGACTGTGACCTCTAACCAGCCAGCGATGTATTCCAACAACTGTTCACCCAAAGAATTCATATGCCATAAGTGTTTGCATTTATATCAAAGCCCATTTAATGAATCTAAACTTAGGAGGCAGACTTATGATTCATGTGTTCTATACCTCTTCCTATAGGAATTCAATGGAAAGCAAACAGAGAATAAGAATGATGGAAGAACTGGACGTGTGTTCACCGAAGTTCAGCTTCTCAAGAGCAGAAAGCGAAGTTAAAAAGCAGCAAGGTCGGATGCTCTGCGATGTGGTCCTGGATCAGAAAGTGCTGCCTGGTGTAGGGAACATCATCAAAAATGAAGCTCTCTTTGACAGTGGTCTCCATCCAGCTGTTAAAGTATGAGTATTTCCAAATTTGATTCCAACTTGTTTCTAAATACGTAAGGATCCGGTGTGAAACAGAAAGCTGTGTTTAGCGACATATCTCTACCTACTCCAGGCATCTCTTAAGTCTTGGCTTTAGGAGTCAACTTCTTGGTGTGGTCATCTCTGACTCCCTGTTAGAGCTGCCGTGTCTCAATTCCTACCCTCTGTAATTCTTAGCTTGCTTTGATTTTATTTTCCCCATACCTTGTGTTGGTTTTACTTTCAAAGGTATTTTACTCATTATACTTAATGCTTTAAAAAAAAAAAAAAAAAAAAAAAAGCTTCTCTTCTTCAGCTAGAAGGTCACCCCTAAGGAGGTAAGTGATGTTTCACTGAAATAGGGAAATAGCACAGTGTCTAGCTTTAGAGAGATATTTGTGGTATGTATGAATAAATAAATTAGGCTTACCATTTTTTTCCCTATCTGGCATATTAAATATATACTCTACACCATATGCATGGATTCTAATTTATAGCTATAAATAATAGAAAAAAAAAACTCTTGCTGAATAAGGATGAAATTCAGGTAGCAGGGACTAAAGAATGAATGAGCAGAGAGCAGAAGACAGAAAATCCCCAGTCCTTGTTCAATTAGCTTAGATTGGCGTGAAGGGAAAAGCAGTAGACTTTTCGAATGGGATACCAGGACGAGGAATGGATTCAGTTTTGTTGTTTTGTTCTCCAACTGAAGAGACTTGTTTTTCTAGGAGACAGAATTAGTTGAGAGGAGGTATGGAGAATAGGGATTAACTGAGTAGGGTTCTGAGAAGGGAGAGACAGAACGGCAGCATCCATCCAGACATTTGTTTCTAGGGAGGAAGTTGGCACTTAGGGCTCTTTCCCACATTTGTTCCTGTTAACTAAATCCAAACTGTATCAACTGTTTCTGCTAAGGAGAGCTTGTTACGTACAAGTCCACATAGACCTCTTTGTTTTGTGCATATAGTTTCTCTCGCTGATTTGGGTAAAATCCAAATCATTAGTAATTAAAATTTAAAAGAAACTAGTTCATGATAATATTAGGTTAGGTTCTGCTTTTTAACACTTAAAACAACTTAGTTCAATGCAGCAATACTGAAATAGGATCTTGACAAAAATCAGCTTTTGAAAAATCACGTGGACTTCTTTGGAGAATGTTCTCTCGAAGAGAACCAAGGGTCTGGGAGATAGCCTGTCTAGCATGTGAGATCCCAGTTTTGATCTCTAACATTGGAGTTAGTAAGAGAGAATGATAGAGAGAATGGGCATGAATTTTGAATCTGTTGTTAATTCTCTGTAAAAGAACTGTTGAGGTTTTGCTACAGTCACGAATAAATTATGAAATATTGTTTTGCGTTAAGGTGTGTCAGCTATCAGAGGAGCAGATCCACCACCTTGTGAAGATGATCCGCGATTTCAGCATTCTCTTTTATAGGGTAGGAAAGATTTTTTTCAACTGCGCCTTCGTTACACCGGTGGTTTCCTCTTTTGACTTACCAGGGTGTTAAAGCTGCAGGTCGCCCTCTAGTGGTAAGAGGAAAGAGTTCCAGGGAGCAAGAGCGACATCTTAAAGGGCAATTGGTGTCTTAAAATTTTAGGTCAACACGCCTCACTCTGAGTATATTTAGTTATGCTTATACTAATTTAGATAGCAGCTATGTTAGTATTTTACTTGAATTCTTATTATATCTGGACATATAAAGCACAGACTTAATACTTAGGGGTAAACAGACTTGGGTTCATTCAGGTTTTGCCAATGATTATGTGTGGTTTAGGTTATTTCGATAATTTAGGTTTTTTTTTTAATCTAATAAGAGATTATATTTCTGTCTGTACAGCAAAAGCTGTTCTAGAGATAACACAAGCACTTATTAACATGTTAGTTAGCAAGTTGTATAATGTTCATATAAACAATGGGTAATAACTAAGCCCGTTTTCCCACCACAATTCAAACTGTGTGTTTTTATACTGTGCTCAGAGATGAAGGGGTTATAATGGTCTTCATTAATTGACCTAAAGTTAATGAACCTCTCACAGTCCATGACTACCTTCAGTAATCATGGCAATTTTACAATGACCCGTGCCCATTTATTCTTCCAGAGAAAAATGACTATAGGAAACAGTCCACTTTGCCCACAGCAAATTGGGCATTTCACTACCATGCTCAAATTGGCATATGCTGTTTGTGTAGTTTCAGCCCGTATATAGTCATATTTCTGAATTTTTATGTTTTTATACGGCTGGTAGAAACCAAAGATATTCTCTCTGTAGGAACTTGCAACACTGAGTATAGAATAAAACTATGGCAGAAAATCCAAAACATCTTTTGAAACAAAATTTATACCAAAATAGAGCATATTCTCTGTTAGGATAGTATTTGAGTTTTTATTTTCTTTTCAAGCAAATCTTTAGAGTTCAGAAAAAAAAAAAAGTCCTTTATCAGGCCAACAAAGAAAATGCTCTCGTTAAATTTTATCCCCTAAAAATAACTTTTTTGGCCGTTGAAACTGAGTGAGTAGCTCCCTTGTTCTAAAAGCAATCAGATTTGAAGCTAATCTAGCCCTTTTCTTACAACCATGTAATTATGTTTAATTAAGAAAGCCTTAAAAGCATAAAAGAGATTTTAAAATATAGAACTTTTATATATCATTTAGATAAGAGGATAAAGCAGAGAGCAGCTTGGAATACTAATAAGTTAAAACATAATGACTCAATTATTTCATACAAATCTTATTTGATAGACATTACTAAATTTTGTCAATACCTTTTACTTTGATGAAAAATTATATGGAACTATGTACAAATTTTTGACATTTGCAGAGATAACTCAATTTTCTGAATATAGCTCTGTTCCCCATAACAACAGACTTGAGCATAAACAGACTAATTTTATGTATTTTCTTTTTTTTTTAGTGTTGTAAAGCAGGATCTACCATTTCTAAACACTATACGGTTTATCAGCGTCCCAACTGTGGCCGGTGCCACTGCAAAATTACTGTGTGTCGCTTAGGGGAGAACAGCAGGATGACATATTTCTGTCCTCACTGTCAGAAAGAAAACCCTCAGTCTGTTCAAATATGGTAAGAAAACTCAGATTATCTCTCCAGTGGCTAATAATCTGAACATGTAACTAAAGGGCTGCCAGACTACTACTGATCGCATGTAGTTACTACAGAACAAAGAGATTGAAAACATGTATGAAAAATGATTGCCAAGGCATGGGTGAGAATGATTGTCAGACCCAGAGTCAACACGTTAGACCTAGAACCAGAATTATTTGTTTTTAAAGTTAATAAGAATTGTGACGGGTCTCGTTTGAAGAATGATTGCAAGCAACTCCAAACCAAATCTTAGAAATTTCAGCATTGGGAAAGTTGGAATAGAATAAGTTAGATTTTTGAACGAGGTGTCAGTACAGTGCCCGCCCGGGACATTTCATGGGCCACATGACAAGATGGGTAATGGCCGAGGGTTACCAGCGTGGTATTTTTAGGTGAAGCATAAAATGCTCAGCTCAGTGAGACTAGAAGCAGAAATGAACCGAGACCTGAGCTTTGGTGACCTATTGCTTTTGAGTGGGAGCAGACAAAATGATGTGATTGCAAACAGGAAGAAATAGGCCTCACTGAGCTGTGCAAAACCCGAGGAGGAGGGTGAGTCATTATTCTGTGGAGCGCATAGAGGCACGCCTTATGTTTTCATAAATATATCCACATCCACTGGCTTGCTTTTTCCTTCCGTGTTCTATTTCTGTATAACTCCTGCTCTGCCTCCCAGGTATCTTATATCTCCTCCTGTCCACCTGTTTTATTATAGGAACCGTCGTCGGACAGCTAATTGTATTGGTTGTGTGGGTTTCCGATTTTATTTTTCATGGGACAGTTATATGTGTATTTGACTCCATGCACTTAACAGTATCTAGTTCATAGAAAACCTTCACTGTATTTGTCTGTTGAATAAATGATTAATGTTCTGTGTTTGTCTACATCTATAGCTCCTTCCAGATTTTGAGATTGAAAGTTTTCCTTTTTTCTTCCAAGTAGTCAGTAAAAGATATTTAACCATATAAACAAGATATTTGTCAATTCCAAAGGGTTTGGAGATGAGGCTTAAAGACTCATAGAGTTCCTGAAAGAGATTTAGGTTTACTTGTTAGCTCTGCTGAATTGGAACTGTCATGGGGTGCGTAATCCCTCTCCTCTATTCCACCCTAATCCTGTTTTTTAATTAATTTATTTATTTTTAATGACTTTTTATTTATTTATTTTACATCCTAACTTCAGTTTCCCTTCCTTCCTCTCCTCCCAGCCCCTCCCCCATCCACTCCTCTGTTTCTGTTCAGAAAAGGGCAGGCCTCCCATGGATGTCTACTAAACAGGGCATATCAAGTTGCAGTAAGACTTGGCACCTCCCCTCAGATTAAGCTGGACAAGGCAACCCAGTATGAGAAATAGGGTCCCAAAAGCTGGCAAAAGAGTTAGAGACACCCTCTGCTCCGACTGTTAGGAGTCCCATAAGACCAAGTAATACAACTGTAACATGTACAGAGTGCCTAGGTCAGTCCCATGTGGACTCCCTGGTTGTCGGTTCAGTCTCTGTGAGCCCCTATGAGCCCAGGTTAGTTGATTCTGTGTTTTCTTGTGGGGTCCTTGACACCTCTGGCTCCTTATCGTTCTTCCTTCCTCTCTTCTGCAAGATTCCCCAAGTTCTGCCTAACGTTTAGCTGTAGATCTCTACATCTGTTTCCACCAGTTACTGAATGAAGCCTCTCTTGAGTATTGGAGTAGAGTAAATTGGACAATTGGAGTATAGCAAAGTATCATTAGGCATCATTATACTGACATTTTTTTTTTAATCCATTCGTGTTTGGTTTTATCCTAGGTCTCTGGTCTACCCAGCCTTTGGGTCCTGGTGCTCCAGGCAGTGTCAGGGGTGGGCTCCCTCTCATGGTATGGGTCTCAGGTTGGACCAGTCATTGGTTGGCCACTCCCACAATCTCTGTGCCACCTTTACCCCTGCACATCTTGTAGGCGGGACAAACTGTAGGTCGAAGGTCACAGGAGTAAGTTGGTGTCCCCGTCCCTCCACTGGAAGTCTTCTCTGGTTACGGGAGATGGCCAGTTCAGGCTCTGTGTCCCCTATTGCTAGGAGTCTTTGCTAGGGTCACCCTCGTAGATTCCTGGGAGTTTCCATCGCACTAGGTTTCTAGCTCGTCCTATAATGCCCTCCTGTTTTCCAGTATTCTCCCTGTCTGGCACCTCCACCTGATCCCTCCTGTTCCCTTCCCCGCATGCCCCCAGTCCACCCTCAAAGTCTATTCTATTTTCCCTTCCCTGGGAGATCCAAGTATTCCCCCCTTGAGCCCTCATTATTACTTAGCTTTTCTGGGTCTGTGAATTGTAGCATGGTTATTTTTCACTTTACAGCCAATATCCACTTATAAGTGAAAACATATCATGTTTGTCTTTCTGGGTCTGGGTTACCTCAGTCAGGAGGATATTTTCTAGTTCCATCCATTTGCCTGCAAATTTCCTGATGTCGTTGTTTCTAACAGCTGAGTAATACACCATTGTGTAAATGCACTACATTTTCTTTATCCATTCTTCAGTTGAGGGGCATCTAGGTTGTTTCCAGGTTCTGGCTATTATGAATAAAGCTGCTATGAACATTGTTGAGCAAATGTCCTTGTGGTATGGTGGAACATCCTTTGCGTATATGCCCAGGAGTGGTATAGCTGGGTCTTGAGGTAGATAGAGCCCTCTCCTCCATTCCATGCTAATCTTGTTTTATATACTGGCCTACAGTTTAACACTCTGGAGAATCATTCACACAAGATAAATACATGTATAGCTTTTTTTTTTTTTTTTTTTTTTTTTTTTTGGTTTTTCGAGACAGGGTTTCTCCGCGTAGCTTTGCGCCTTTCCTGGAGCTCACTTGGTAGCCCAGGCTGGCCTCGAACTCACAGAGATCCGCCTGCCTCTGCCTCCCAAGTGCTGGGATTAAAGGCGTGCGCCACCACCGCCCGGCACATGTATAGCTTTTAAAGTTTGAAAACCAATACTACTTGCCCCATTTTTAAGATTTCTGTGAATAAATACAGTCTTTATTTCTACTAAATATCTGGGCACTTTTTATATTAACTAAAAATTTTTTGTTTTAATTTAAAGTTATTTCAAGATTTGAGGTTAGAGCTTGGTGGTAGCACACTCACCTAGCAATGCTTAGGTCGCATGTCAATCCCCAGGTGCTGGAGAACTCTGCAAAGAGAGGGAGAGGGAGAGGGAGAGAGAGAGTATTTCAAGATGACTTAAAGAATCCTGTATAGATCAAGAGCAATGATCCAAATGGTTCTCCACACACAAAAATCTCCCAACCCCATTAACTCTCGTGAAGCCTTCCCAATTGTTCTGATTTCTGTTGATCACATACATCCCCTTTTAAATGCTGATATAATTTATTCTTGGCTCTTAATATTCAGTCAGCAGAACCTACGTATGTGACTGTATTAGGTGAAACTGACTCTTTTATAGTCTTATAAAGTTTTGCTTTTTAATTTTTATGATATATTATTTACTTTGGTATTATGTGCAGCCTCTGGGAATGCAAGGCAGAATATCACACACCCCTCAGAGTTCTCAGGTAGTGAGGTGGGAAATCGGTACGTCACATGGTTAAAGCACGGTGGTGAAGGTGCTGGGGAGAACTGTATTTATTTTAATGACAAGGGAGCTCTAGAGGCGGCAGCAGATCTATCCGGGAAGAAAGGACAAGGTCATCTTTCTCAGCTTAGTGTGGACAGAAGCAGGGATTCATCACCTCTAGAAGGGAACCAGAATGTGGGGAAGACAGGGAGGAAACAGCTTGTTTATTTAGAGACTCACACAGGCGAGTGTTCAGGGGTTTCGTTCCTGTGTAAGGAAGGACACATCCATAGTGCGCTGACCATGGCTTTCTGTTTAGAATAGAATAGAACTGTAATTGGTTGCAGGTTACTGAGAACTTAGTGTGATCTACAAGCAAGTTCTTACCGTGGGTCTCGCCTGTCAGGAGGGTGGAACAACTTGAGGGCATTTAGAAGACATGAAGAAACCCTATGGTGACTTAGTATTGCTATGATAAGCTGCTTTGGGGATTGATTGCAGTTGCCATGTCAAAATATAGGCTAAAGGGGCCATATAGTCAAATGAATATTAGGGTAGTTCCTAGGATTAGCTGAAGGCTATAGGAACCGGAGCCTCAGGACTGGTGACCCAGATATCCAGTGCTGTCACAGTGTGCTCCGGGCAAGCAGCTGGTCTTAATGCCTCCATCTCCTTAGCTTCTCCGCCTTACACTGTTAGAAGCACGTACTAAGCTGCAGAAGATTAAGTTTAGGATTTGCTGATGGACTGGGTGTCAGATGTCAGGACATGTTAGGGTGAAGGATAGAGTTTTGTCCTGTTATGTTATGAAAATGCTTTACTGAAACAAAGTGGGAGGGTTACAGACTGGGGGGGGGGGTTGGGTTTTGTTTGTACTAGCGTCATGTGGGTTTTATGACAAATTACCACACTTTCAGCATAAAGCAGGAGAAATTCGTTCACTCAAGTTGGGATGCCAAAAGCTTGAGGAATTTCATCCTGCCAAAATAACGTACTGACAAGTGTGCCTTCCTTCTGATGGTCCGGGCTCGGATCCACCCCTTGCTTCTTGGAGGCTCTAGTGGCTGCCGGCGTTCCTTGACAAGTGGTCATGTCACTGCAGTCTCTGGCTCTGCGTCACCAGTACCCTCTCCTTTTCTGTGTGTCAAGTCTGCCTTTCCCCTCTTATTAGGACAGTACTTCCTAGGTCAATATCCTTAACTTCCCCTGCAAAAGACTCTTTCTAAATCAATATTTCCAGTTCTCCGATATTATGACCTGGTGTCTTTGGGAGATCCTTCTTCAGTCTCCTACAACCTTGGAAGTGTGAGTTCTTGTCACATATCCATGGAGAGATGGGGAGAATTTAATACTAGGCAATGAAGGCATGGAGCAACAGCAGCAAAGAGATTCAAAAGCCTCTAGATGAAGTTAGGTACATCCTCTTATGATTACAATAGGAGAAGCTGATGATGATAAACCTTTGGGGCACACTGGGAATCTGAGGGTCACTTACATTGTGTTCAACTATGAACAAATGCAGCCTTCTGTCTTTCAGAGTATGTCATGGCCAGGAGTTCGGTCAGGGGAACAAATTCTGTAGGGTTCCAGTTCCATACACATATTTGATACTAAGTGTGAGAAGTCAAGGTAAAGATAGAGGAGTCATGATGAGATGTAGCTTACTTTCAGACTTCCTTGGGCTATTCATTATTTTACCAAACAAGCCTGGATGTCAGGGCTGGTGTGCTTGTATAGAAGGAGCAAGAAGTTACAAAAGTCAAGGCTCCCTTTGAGATGCAGAGAACCTGTGCTCTGAAAAGAATTAAGCTGCATAGGTTTTTCTGCAAGAGCTTTTCTGGGTGTTAACGCTTGGAATCAGTGGTGCTGCTATGGTACTGCTTAACTGCAGGGGACCCAGGACAGGAACGGTATTAGAGCTTTAGAAGGGCACTTTCTTGTCACTCAGTAGTAGCCAGTGTTTTCTGGGTACAGAATCATGATTTACATTCGTCACTAAAAGTCAAGTTTATCTTTATCATTTGTTCCTTAACCTATTAACTACATGTCTAAGAGTGATGACTTGGTAGATGTAAAAAGGGTTTGTGAGAACTAACACATAAATATCTTTTTTTCATCATTATGGATTAAGCAATCAACATATTGCTTAGCAAATACTATTAAAAACCTAGAATTTCTAGAATTTTATTTTCTGGAAACATGAAGTCACGTAAAGCTTTTCTCATTCCCTTTTTTATTTTTTTGTGTTTGTTTTTTGAGATTTTAGTGTATAATTTTCATTTTGTTTTTGCAACTATAGTCTAATTGTATCATTTCTTCCTTTCCTTTCCTAGCTCCAAACCCTCCTGCATACTCTGCCTTGCACTCTTTCAAGGGCATGTCCTCTATTTCATTTTTTTAATACTCTGTTTATAGCATAATCTTTTCTGTTTCTGATTTAATTGAATAAATAATATTTGCTTTGGAAAGTACTATTTAAAATATTTGCAAAATACTTCCTACTGGTTATAGCAAATGCTTTTAGCTAGCTTGTTTCTTGTTTTAAACACAGTACTTTTATAAATTTTATAAATATAAAATGCTTATTTTAGAATTTAGCAGCATGCAGTAGGGCTTAGGATATAGTTTTCGATCAATCACTAGTGACCTCTAAATAATAATAAACAGAATTGGGGTCCCAATGCTTCTAGAACAGTTTCTAAAATATCCAGAATGGATAAGAATAAAGCATTAAGAATATAAATGATTGATTTAAAAATTTATTTTACAGCAAACTGCCAACGAGAGAAGCTGTAATCAGCTGGACTTCAAGGAGAAAAGACTACCTTATGGACTCTGTGGCTAGGAAGTGTGAAGAACAGTGGTCCTGTGCGGTCTGTACCCTCATAAATAGACCCTCTGCTAAGGCCTGTGATGCTTGCTTGACCGCAAGGCCTGTTGGTAAGACTGACATTTTGAGTTCCTAAAGTTTGCAAGAAGATGCATTGTATTGTCAGGTATATATTTTACTCCACCTTGACATTCCATAACCAAGTGAAATGCTTTCTTTCTCAGATGTTTAGGGGGAATTGCCAGCCTTTTTATGTAAACTAGGCTGATAGTCTGTTGAAAATATTAAAATAAAGAAGAAGAAAAAAAAAAGACAGGGAGGGGAAACATGCTTTTCCTAAAACAGTATGTGCCTTTGTATCTCAAACCCTGAGATGATCACATCTGTTCTCTACTGTTTCTAATGAATTATTCAATAAAGCTTTGTTTTATGCAGATTTCAGCAACTTTCCAGTTTGTTATTCAGCCCGAGTGTTTCATAAATTGAAAGGGAAGAATTCTGTACGAATATCTTTGCAGGTGGAATTGGAAAAGGCTGAATTTTTTCTCTTCTTTCTCCTTCCTACCCCTTGTTATTAAAATCTTTACCCAGACAATTGTACTGATTTCATTGAAATCCTTCAAAATAACTCTTTATAGCTCCCAATCTCCCGCGCTCAGAGAATGTAAAACCTCAGAGGAAACCTGTGATTAAGAGCCATCTCACTGATGGGGCTCCCATTGTGTTCTCAAAGTGTTATTTCTTTCCCCAATTAGAGATGAGAAAGTTCGCTCTTGACTTAGGGACCCCTGCATTGTGTTAGCGGCTGTATTGTGTTTTGTTCCCTGGGCCTGTGAGGCGGGCATCACCCCTCCAACAGCTTTGCTAAGTCGCAGGAGGGACTGTACTTCCTTCACTATCAGTCACCCGAAAGAGAAGCTTGGAAAACTGTCTTAGTTTTCTGCATTTATTTCAGCGTTCTGAAATGCCTTTATATGTCTTATCAACTCTTTCTTGTTAATATGAAGATACGTATCGTAAGCATAATACAGATCACATCATGATGCTGATTCCAAAATTCTACAATATTTGTTGAAACATATTCTCATCAGCATCGAGTGTCTACAATTCTTTTTTACTAATCTTAAGTAAACTTTTCATTTGGTCCTGTCAATCATGAATGTTCCTGACCATACATTAGTCTCTAGCTGCAGAGCTGAGGCCTTCTGGGAGATCATTGTTAATTACCAATGCTAATTGCTTCTCCTAATATTAACAGAACTGATAGCTGAATAGTCTTTGGATATTTAAACATAAGAAAGCAAATACAAATCCTTGCTGGCACCATCTTTTGGTTCCTATAGGTTGTTGATATTTTATTTCCTAAGCCGATGATAACCCAACTGTAACTTGTCCAAGTGAGCTTGGTAACATGGTTGTGCATACTTGCTTAGTGTGACAACTAAAATTTTAAATCAGTTCTATTTCAAATAGTCGGCATATTATATTTCTAGAATACTGTAGAATTACTTATCTTTCTCCAGATTCCGTGCTCAAGAATGGAAAGAATCCCATTGACTTCAGCAATTTAGTGAAGTACCCGTGTAATAACTTTGAGAACACACATACAGAAGTGAAGATCAACCGGAAAACTGCATTTGGAAGTACGACCCTTGTCTTGACTGATTTCAGTAATAAATCCAGTGCTTTGGCCAGAAAGAAAAGCCCAAACCAGATAAGAGGTGGGAAATTTCCAAACCTTCCTCCTACAGATGCATGCTGTAGTGATCTACAGTACCCCTCCAAAGAAGGAACAAAGTCTATAACTCAGCCATCCAACAAGGTAAACATATCGCCTACAGTGTGTGCCCAGTCTAAATTATTTAGTTCAACACATAAAAAATTGAAGACAGCTCACTCTTCAGAAGCAGACCTTAAACATTACAACTCTGGACTTTCTAACAGGTATGATGTTTCTAACTTTGGTCTTCACAGTATTTGCGTTAAGTTTTTGTTGTTATTGTTTGAAGTATTTTTAAGATCAGTAAGGCATTTGTATTGCACCCAGTTCTAAGAAGGCAGAAAATCCATCCATTGCTATGAAAGTTAAATTGCTTTTAGTAACATAAGCATTAAAAAATTATTATAATAATTTGCTTGCTTTTCTTTCTCTAGCTAATCGATGTTAGAACAGGAAAGAAAGGGAACAGATTTTCCTGCAACTCCAACAAGTTTTTTTTTTTCATCTTTTCCTGAATATAACCATATGTTCAGTATGACATATTTGGAAAATATCAGAAAATATATAGAAAACTATTTAAAACACCCACAATCATACCAATTATCTGCTGATGTTTTATGTATAGCTATTCCTTGGTTGCCAAGGTAGCTGTATCCCAGTAAGCCTGTTGTAAGTGGAAAATGCATTACCTGCACCCAACCTTAACATCAATCTAACTGTACACGACACTGTAGGGTCCCAGCTCTCTCCCTCATGTCATGTGCCTGATTGGGAGTTAGAGCTTGTCAATCATTGAGAGAAATTATTAGCCTTTGTGCCACTAGCCCGAGTAAAGACCAAAAGTTGAGCTCTGCCTTCTACTGCATACCTGCTTCTGCTCACCATGGAAAAGTCCAAGCCTTGTGAGGAGCACTGTGGTCTGCTGGGGCCCAAGCATTTCTTCCCAATGAAGCAAAGTTCTGAGGGAAACCATCATATACAGAAGTTTAGTGTGTGTCCTCTATTTTAAAAGAGAAAAACCCGAGATACCTTTGGCTGCATTTCTGTTAAAAAAAAAAAAAAAAAAA